GACGACAATGTTCCACCAGTGTTGAGAACGTTCTCTCTTCCACAGTTCTCTTTCCTGGTATAATCCTAGGACTAATCCCATACTAAGAAAGTATGGAAAGCCTCTCTTTCGCCTCTGGTTGACTATCTTCGACAGCGACATGGCCTCAAATGATAAAAGTCCACAATTTATTTATGAAATGATCTTTACTTCTGCCTTGCATAAACTTCATGTGAACGCAATGTAAATATACTTTAGCTTGCCCCCGGCTTTCAGCAGCATGATGAGGGTGTCTTTAGCTTTTTGTTCCGTCTATAAATGAGTGTCTGGTCGGACCCCGCTTACTTTTATTAGAATGCAAGCCTTCGACCTGGTTGGTTGTTTGGGATCCTGTGGAGCTGAAACCTCTGCTCACCATCTTGAGCTTCGCTCACTTGCCTGTGAGACACCCCTTATAATCCTCTATTGTTTTACCAATCAACACGCTTCATTGGCTATCGTTTTACAAAAACGCTTTTCGCAATAGAGTGATTTGGTATCGGGCGTTCGTGAAACGTTAATTCCATGTAAGTGGAAAATAATACAACACAATCGTCTTGCTTCCTACCATCCCAGATAATTTTTCCACCGGGCCCCTTTCAAGGATGTTGTTTTAAACACATACATGCGTATCTAAAGAAAGAAGTCTGTGTATTGCTTTAATAATAAATATTGCATATATTTAAGGCAAAGCATTAAACTGACACTTTTGCTACGTACACGTGTCACAAAATGAACCCGTTAGACCACTTCAGGAATATATTTATGAAATTGCGAAATGTCCGCGTCCAACGGGTCGATGCGTATGTGAACCAACTATTTAATTATCTGTATTAGAACATTGAAACGTTTCTAACACTGACAAGAGGTATAATAAGTGAATAGTTAGAAGGGGCACTACTTATCAGAACGAATCAGTGAAATCAGTGAGTGAGTTGGGTTTCTATAATCTCTAGCTTCTTCTCGGCAGTCTGACATTGGCCGCTTGGTCACACTAGCTGCCGTGAGACGATTTTGCTCGCAAACGCAACTGAGCGTGACAAGAGACTGGGCTACCCTCTGCAAGGACAGCTAAATAAACTTGGAGGCAATATTTGTTTTACGCATTTTTCAACACTGATTGGTTACCCGTGATCTATGAAGATTTGGACAAAGGGCGCATGTTAATAAATTTCTTCAGCCTAAACAAACAGACAAAAAGAACGACAGAAGCGCATCGGATGTCGTTATTTGGAAATCCCCCTGGTGGTTATAGTTTATAATAAGAAAAGTATCCCTGCAGTGAAAGCATTTTCGGATTTCGGATTGCGTGGGTAAACTACTCCCTAGTTGTCATCCATGTTTTCTGGTATAACCCTACACTTGTGTATTTGTCGTCATTCAATTGATGCTCAGTTAATATATTACAGGTATAATTACTGGAGGCACCACTCAGATTACCTGATAAAGGTTCCCATTAGGCATTTCGTGTGTCTGGGATATTTATTCAATTCAAATCCAGGTTTAAACCGAATCCCGGTTTGAAGTGAGGTGAAATGTATGTCATATAATATGCACGTTTCAGCCCAGCAAGAGGAGTGATCACCATCATTCCTCGCCATCAAATGATCAGCAGAAATTACGTTGATTGAATTATCACTGTTATTTTGCACAGGGGATTTGTCAAAAGTAAGCGTTTACATGTGTATGTTTACTAAAGCAGACGGAATACCCCAATATCTGGGCGTGAAGTGCCGATGTGAAAACAACATACTTTGTTCAAAGCCGATATAACGTTGATTGATTGCTCATTGTAATCTAACTCAATGGATTTTTTAAAGAACCGTGGACATTATGAAAACAGTTGACACGTGGGCTTTCTCAGCTGACCTTTGAGACTTGACACCTATGTGAAACAACTGAAACAAACTAAGTGATCAGTCGAGAAACCAAACACGGGTTATAATATCCCGAAACGATAAATATATTTTGAAATATTTTATTGTTACAGAGACACGTGACATCCAATAAGTTTCTTTGTACAGCTGCAGATGTGTGGAATATTGTTCCTTTATGTGAATATTTACGGTTGCATTCCTAGAACAAGGCAGCTGACTAAAAATATACATATAACTTTGGTAGGTTGTAATTATGATATTTGCATTTTGTTTTCATTCATTTGCTGTAGCATTGAACAGAATCATTCTTGTTCCTCTACGTCTTGGTTGAGAAGTTCTTCGATGCGAGATAGACGTTGTTTTTCACAAGTCTTTTCCTTTGTATGCGTGTATATGTTACAGTCAATGTGTAAAATATGATTCACTCCGGCAATTTATAGAATGTCTAAATATTTCAGGCGATTGACTGAAAAATCTGTTCATTTATTTAACAGATTGACTAAAAATGACTAAGACTGTCAAAAGGGCTTAAAAACATCACAATAGATTAATTATGCTGGGATTAGAATCCAAACAATTTAGAAATGTGCTTATCCAAACTACCATAATATAAAAATATCTGTTTTTAGTGAACAATATCCTTAGGTATAATTGCTGTATACATATGAAGATATTGTTAGTTATAATATTTTATTGATGTATTTTATTGATTATATAAATTTAGGTGTCTTTTAGGGGGAGGGGGGAGGGTATGTATGTGTGCTAAGGGGTGTGAACTGGTGACTAGGTTGATCTTGCATGAGAGTATATGTCCGTGTGTCTGTGGAGTGGGGCGGGGGGAGGGGTGGTGGGTGGGCGGGGTTTGCTGTATACATAAGAAGAAATTGTTAGTTATAATATTTTATTTATGTATTTTATTGATTGTATAATCTTAGGTGTCTTTTAGGCCAGTAATGGCCAGGTGTATTATGTACACATGACACATTAATAAACTATATTATTATTATTATTATTATTATTATTATTATTATTATTTAATATCCTTACATTTTCAGTCACTTGGTGATGATATTAAACATAAAAATGTTTGGATTTCGTCATCATAATAATACAGATGGGCATATTTTTTGAAATAACTGAATATTTAGGCATTTAATAAATTTCCTAAGTGAAACGTTTGCACATTTTGACTGTAAAAAAATAAACACCATAACATAAGCAATGCTCAGGTGAAATATTTTCTTTGTGTTGCAAGTCAAAATAGTGAAAACGAAAATCACACAATTACCAAGCAAGTGACTTATCAAAACACCGTCACCATTAATGATGCTACCCACAAGATACCTACATTTAAAAGTGACAACTGCGCTTACGAATGGCGCTGCATAGGCCGCGAACTAGTCTAGATCTCTGCTATATCATCCGGGTACTCACGGGGAAAAACAATAACAAAGGCAACAACTCTGGGGAATTGCTTTAGGTAATTGCCCATTTAACAGTATTCAAGTTATATCACGGCGTGTCAGCTTAATGTGGGAGGAAAGCCCAAAGTGATGCAGGTCTCAGACGTTTACCATTTCGATGAACCCCACGAGCACGGGTATGATGCTGACAAACCTAGAAACTTAATTGGGGCGAACCGGGTTTCGAACCCACAATCATAGGTTTCTGGCGTGCCCAAGGGACGCAACTATGCACAGCGAATCGCAACGCCTAAGACGAGTGGGCCACCCGTGCCCCCCACTGAAATCAAAATCGGGGCACCATGTTATAAATGCTGAAGACGCTCGAATAGCAGTTCATGGAAGATTTACATTCTCTCATGAATTCTAAGAAATGTACTTGAAATTTTTTTTTTTATTAAATTAAATTTTATTCTAGTGTCTTCCTCTAAAACACGAAACCAGCTCTTCCCTTATTTATTATTGTTTATTTCAGAAGCTTCGTATAAAGTTGTGTTATTTCAATGTGGTAACTGTACATGTATGTCTTTCACTTGCAAATACCTGACTTGCATTTGCATGTGTTTGTGGTGGATACGCTCTAACCTGATTCATGAGTATTATTCATTAACACATGCTTATGATATAGTCGGAATGGAATGGAAAAGAAGTAAATTATGGAAATGGTTTTGTTTATTTTGTTTCCAATAAAAAGCGTATTCTTTTACAATGTTAATAGTCGTTCACACATCAAGAACAAGTCACTGTGTAATACAAATACCTAACGACGTAATATTTGTGAAGGACTTCGTTTACCATGTGAAATCTTTAATAACCAAACGATTTTGTCCAGACTATTTCACATTATATTCAGAATGAAACTTATCACGAAACATTATGGGATACTAGACATGCACAAAACATAAGTTGGTTATGAGGTTTCCTGACGGCCATTTTGGCCGACACATGATATTGTTTGATTCTGTTCTATCTTATTTGTTGCCGTGAAAATCACCTCAGCTAATGTGTGTACGAGTATTTGTGATTGGAGTCATGACCACAAGATCATCTTACATTTGCAGTCTAAATAAAGTATAGATATCGGTATTGGTAAAAGGAAAAGAAGCTTTAAACTATGATCTTAAATAATGCAGAGCAGCATGACATGGAAAACGTAACTCAAAATCAGTCAAGGAAAAAAGTAATACAATATATTGTACCGTACATTTAGCACAACTGTCACAAGATAGCGTGACTATTCTGTTTCGAAAGTGTCGCGATAGTGGCGTGAAAGTGGCGTGAAAGTGGCGCGATAGTGGCGTGAAAGTGGCGCGATAGTGGCGTGAAAGTGTCGCGAAAGTGCCGTGAAAGTGTCGCGAAAGTGCCGCGATCTTGTAAAATGTTATCGCGAAAATGGCGCGAAAGTGTCTCGAAAGTGGCGCAATAGTTTCACGTTAATGGCTCAAAGGTGGCGCGATAATTCCGCGTTAGTGCCGCAATAGTGGCGAGAAAATTTCGAAAAATCTTCGCGAAAATAGGGGAAGTTACTTGTGAAATGTAGTGTACATGAGTAAATTTGCTTACATGAGTAAATTTTGTCCATGCGAATGGGGCTTATTAGTCTTTGCCTCGCATATGTTATATGATGCTTTACAATACTTACTGTATAACGCTATGGAAAGAAGCAGCTGCAGCACACCTTTCTCCATCCCGTCACTCGGCGAGCGCTGTTCTCCACCTTCTGTACCTAAATGTGTTTAGTATCCCGGGCCGTGCCTCATCGACTGGTAGCGCGCCTATTGTATGTTAGCGCTGCACTTGTTTGATTTGTCAAACTTGATAAACATTCTGAGTGACGGATTTAAAGTTTGCTTCAAAGGTAATGTACAGAGTGCAAGGATATAACATCAGTTGTTTACAGACTGGCGGAGTTAATGAGTTTCGACAAATGTATATAATCGATGTTGTAATCACCTATGTTACCTGTAATTATCGTTTTCAATCTATCTGTGAAACACCGTGACGTCCCTCTGGGCGATACGTAATGGATTGCTTAAACTACAACCGCCGAGTTAACACAATGCGGAGTGTTGTTACACACATGCATTAAGCTGGCGTAATAACGATGAAAATAGTCCTACCGATTACATCTTATTAATGAATGTGAACAAATGTAAACTAAAAATGAAAAGTATTCTTATACCGTGAAATATCAGTGGATTCCATTTATATTAAACAAACAATCCGATGATGTCAGGTATTCATTTTTTATAGCCCGTCGACAGTCATGTGAAGGCTGGCGTCAGAGTTTGTATGGAATATTAGAAGGGCCATAGTCGCGTCGTCTAAACAAACACACGGAAAAAGTGTCAAAATAAACCAAAGAGACAGTTTAACGATAATGGAACATTACGAAAAAGAGACATTTGGACCAATTGTCGCATTGGCGAATTTGTATAGCATTTATGCTTTGTATCAAATAGTGGTGCGCATATTGTTTGTTGGAAGCAAGCCTGAAACATGACCGCCAACGCGACCGGCGTTATTAACAGTGTGAAGAATACATTTTGATGGCAAGACATTTGTCACACGTCTCTGTTTTAGAAATTGTGTAAACACCAGGGAACCAATCTACCCTCTCCTGGGGACTTCTTGCTTTGATTATTGTCTGTGCTCATTATCCAGATGGCTTCAATTTGTCAAATGTCATTTCCATTCTGTGACCTATCAGTGCTAAAAATCCCGGCCTCCCGTTTGTCCATTGTCCATTGCACATTCCCAAACACGGATGATATCGTCCTGACTTCCTTTTGTCCATCACAATCACCTACCAGCGCTAATTACTGTTAAGTGTTGGCCTCCATTTGTCAATTGCTAATCACCTATCATTGCCAATTATCTGTTGGCTTCCCTTGTTAAGTTTCCACCTTTGGAATATTATTACTTTTGTTGATTTTACAGGTACATATATATATGTTCCCTGCTTCATAGCATTTATTCACCCGATGAAGGAGCAAGTATATACTCAGAAACGTTGTGTTCCTCATAATAAAGAAGTTGGCATCCATGAATTATCTTCGTTGCCTTAACGTTCTTAAACATACAGAGTTACTGTTTGTGCTCCTCAGACATATAAAACTTTTTTTGTCTTGTGCGCCCTATTGGTACACCTGTCTAATCATGTTGCAATGACGATCAGCAGGTAATTGCTATGTTCTCAAGGTCGGACACAGACCCTTGGAAACCGTTTCCGTCACTGAGGCCTTGTCTACCCGTATTACTTGTCTCCTCGAAATGAATGAATTATCAGCAATGTAAATTACTCGTGAGGCAGGATGCTCGTTTAATGATGATAATATTTTAACCAAGCTTTATAATGTTTCTTTCAGGGGGTGTTTCATGGCAGTGTCTTTTATTGTTTGACAGTGGTTGTAGCTGTGTAGCATTGTTTCTTTTGGGATTCGGAAGACGCTAATTGCATTGTGTTCGTACAGTGATCAGTCGTCAGGAAGTTACTATATTGTGATGCTAGTGAGGTGTGTAAACTTCCGGTTTGGTATACCGCGGACGGTGATAGCATGTTATGGAAACTTCTTGGAGTTCTAGTACGGATGAACTGTTTAGGGCACTGAGTTGAACTTTCCAGTGTTGTTGTTGTTGTTGTTGCATTAAGTGTTTAAGAGGTCGCCTTCTGCCTAGGCAATTTCGGCTGACCTGTCCCGCTTTGGGACTCCTGTGTGTGAGAAGGGTACACATATCTATTGTGAGTTTGGTGTTCACATAATTTCTGTTTTTGTATTGATATGATTTCTATTTTCTTATATTGATATGATTTCATTTTTATCCTTGGCTGCTCTGTTTATATACGTTCGAGTAGCTGTCCATCTCTCAGAAATAGAGTTAGTTTGGCCTTCGCTATTGCATCTCTTGGCTTTAGGATATCTATGACAGATAGCGGATCTAACTGCAATTCTTGTTTTAACCTGGCCCGGGCTGGGGCATGGTCTTGAAACCTAACGCGGGACGCATTAAACCCCAAGTACTCCTCGTGATCCTCTCCGGCTCGTGGTATGAAACCTAACGCGGGACGCATTAAACCCCAAGTACTCCTCGTGATCCTCTCCGGCTCGTGGTATGAAACCTAACGCGGGACGCATTAAACCCCAGGTACTCCTCGTGATCCTCTCCGGCTCTGGTATGAAACCTAACGCGGGACGCATTAAACCCCAAGTACTCCTCGTGATCCTCTCCGGCTCGTGGTATGAAACCTAACGCGGGACGCATTAAACCCCAAGTACTCCTTGTGATCCTCTCCGGCTTGTGGTATGAAACCTAACGCGGAACGCATTAAACCCCAAGTACTCCTCGTGATCCTCTCCGGCTCGTGGTATGAAACCTAACGCGGGACGCATTAAACCCCAAGTACTCCTCGTGATCCTCTCCGGCTCGTGGTATGAAACCTAACGCGGGACGCATTAAACCCCATGTACCCCTCGTGATCCTCTCCGGCTCGTGGTATGAAACCTAACGCGGGACGCATTAAAAGCCAAGTACCCCCAGTGATCCTTCTACAACGAATTTATCCTACCGACATGTTTTAATATGACATTTTAAAAGAATTCAAACCAATTCAAAATTTATAGAAAACAACTGTTCGATTAAGCTGAGGTTACCTTGCGCTATGTCACATGACTTCTATTGACTCGGAAAAAGCGTGCGGCTTTTTGCTTTGAAGACATGGAGGTACGATAAATATTATTATCACTAACTTTTGCTATCAACACTGTTTTTGTGTATTTGGTATTGACCACTGCCATCATATTATATACTGTCATTGAGTATTGTTTTAGTATAAGTGATATAATATATTTATCTCGTTGAAGGAACTCTGGTTCCTTGCGAGAATTCAATAAGGTTAACGCTATTTTCTGGGCAATACCACTGACAAAAGCCCGATGTCTGCCATCAAATGCCCGATGTTCGGTTGATATAACTAACAGGACAGAGTATGATAATTTCCCCTCCACAACCTCATGAAGTTAAACAACATCGTATGGCAATCAGGTGTTATTTTCATGAACAAAACAGAGGCCAACTGAAACCTTGGCGTTCGATTCCCCTGACATTAGGAGACAATTTGGTGAGCTATGCCAACACCAATTTTCGAAGTTTGCTTGACAGTGTGATTTTAATTGATATTAGAATGATTGACAGTGCAATGTTTGTTTGTTTGTGTGTTGTTTAACGCCGCAATATTGCAGCTAAATGTACATGACAAGGGTGTGTAATCGAGACAGTGCAATGGCTGATGCTGGCATCTACAAGGAGGGTCGGACAACTGCCTAAACGCTGCAGTGAAGTGTTCGCTTTACCCTCAATCCAAAAATCTGTCGAATGTCTATTAATCACTTATGTTTTGTTGAAATAAATGTTGATCAGAATCTGGGAATCTTACTGTTATCAAGCCAGGGAATGGGCAACCACTTTACAAACCGACCCCGTTATTCGGAGTGTTTTTAACGTGGAAACCTGTCATGCCTTGTTGTGTATAACACGTGTATGAAGCGCCAGTATAATGTGCCTGATTGCCAACTTTGAACTGCACGTTGTTAATGAGAATAGATCTCTCACGAAGTCTGTAAGCGTTCCCAGTTTGTGTGGCGCGAGGCCAAAAGGAGCTACTAATAGTGACAGACGCGATAAAAGCATTTTGGAAATACCAGACAAGACTTCGCAAAGGGAATGCAGTATTTATTTCAGATTACATATACACTGTTCAGTTGATAGAGTGAGTTACATCTTGTACAGCATGCGTGGTGGGTGGGAAGCGAATGTATCAACACTATGTACAGGTGTTCATGAACATACGGTATTGCCGTAAAATAGCGGGGAGGTTGGGGGCTGCGGTTTAAGACAACATTTATGAACTCATTCAATATATAACAAAATATACAATCCGAACACGGGGATAATTGGCACAATGCATACAGAGAGATGCAACAACAGGGTGGGGCAGACAGTCTGCAGAGGGAACGTACTTGCGAGATAACTGTACACCTCAGTCACACATCTGCATCTGTTAGTGATGTTAGTACAAGGGTTAGAAGCCAAGCTTCAATTGAGTTATATTAGAGGCTGTATGCATAGTACATTGTGAGTGTGGAAATGTCGTGATGTGTTGCGCTCATGACCCCAATCACTGGATTGTCTGCATTCGTCACCACTCGCCCCTTTCCGTAACCTGCAAGAAGACTCGTCCCCCTATCGATTAATGTTATGTGCGAAAATACGACAAACCAATAAGAATGCGCGTATGATTTCAAATTCTTCGTCAAAGAATCCCTCAGAAATAATTTTTGATTTTACATATGTCTTGCATCTAAAAATATACCCAAGACACAGTTAAATGTGTTCAATCATACTGTATAATTCCGCACGTCCCGATGTGCTTTAAATTGCATCTGAAATATATATAATATATTGGGAAAATGTGTGAACGATTACGCAACGAGTTGACAATTGTTTTAGGTATGCCCGTTTGCGCTAAAACGGAACCCGTACGCAAAAATGGCCACGAGAGGGGCACGAGTCGCTATTCGGCTTGTCCCGGAATAACACGAGTTGGTCACGAATGGATTGCCTGGTCCAGACTTGATTATTTACAGACCGCCGGGACATAGCTGGAATATTGCTGAATGAGGCGTTAAGCAACACACAAACAAACAAACACAAACTGCAATACTCTTAGAATACTTGTATAAGTACCTTGTCTTCAAGAAAGGTTGCCCCGCCGTGATATTGCTGGAATATTGCTAAAGGCGACGTAAAACCAAACTCACTCCCTCACTCAAGAAAGGTTGATGCAAACCAACCACAACTCCAGGGGGATGCAAGAGGGTAAAATTGTGTCGGTCTTAAGACAGCTATACTCGATCCTAACACATATCCTCCGTCAATGTGGGGCGGTCGGGTAGCCTAGTGGTTAAAGCGTTCGCTCGTCACGCTGAAGACCCGGGTTCGATTCCCGACATGGGTACAATGTGTGAAGCCCATTTCTGGTGTCCCCCGCCGTGATATTGCTGGAATATTGCTAAAAGGGGCGTTAAACCATACTCACTCACTCACTCCTCCGTCAATGTGGACGCCTTTGTATACCAGCTCAGTATTCACTGATCGTGACGATTACCATGTGTTTCATATTCCATTGGAGTGATCGATAATATCTCGCACTAGTGTGCAACTATTGATACTTTAATTTGTTATCCATACCACCGACAGATCAAACGTTGCACACCTACTTCAATGGTTATTAATAAACATAATCGCCACACTGAAATTACCAGGTGCTCCCGTTTTAAGTGAAGATGTTTTGTTCTACGAGATACGGAACAGTACGCGAGGAGATACATGTACATAGGAACGGTGTAATGTGAGACACCACGCGGTGTGCCATTACTATCACAGCTTGGTTTTATGAATCTTGAAGATGGACAAATGTATCGCATATAGAACATTGACAGAAAACTATTTCCCACAACACTGTAAACACTGTGGTCAAACTACCCCAGATGATGTCTGTAGGCTTTATCAGTTCAACTTTAGACCAGGTCGAAATGTTTTTTGTTCTGTAAATTTAGAAAGGGAGGCTTTACTAAATTTCACTGCCAGACGCCGTCGCTTGTATGCCCAGGACAGTGAAGAATATGGCGGATATGATTACGATGACGATCATGTACAGTCTAAACATGAATGCATCAAAGACACGGGCGATGTCCTTCCACGTCAGCCCTGCACCGGACCTTGTGGAGGATTCCCTCGCTGTGGGCTCCTCTCCAGCTGTGGGCTCCTCTCCAGCATTAGACACTGAATCCTTCGTCTGGGTTGGTCCAGTCCTGACCTTCTGTAACTTCATGTCGTCGCTGACAGCGACTGACCTCGACTTCCGTCGACAGCCCCGAACACAGATCAGAGGCATGATTATTGCATTAGTGATGCGCTCGAGCCATGGCGGAACTTGATCTTCCCGACAATTTAAGTCCAGGACGAAGATGGTCAGCACGACGGACAAGCCACTCAGACACAGGATCACAGACAGGTAGACAGCTGAAACACAGGATCACAGGATCACAGACAGGTAGACAGCTGAAACACAGGATCACAGAGTGGTATACAGCTGAAACATAGGATCACCGACAGGTAGGCAGCTGAAACATAGGATCACAGACAGGTAGACAGCTGAAACATGGGATCACAGAGTGGTATACAGCTGAAACACAGGATCACAGAGAGGTAGGCAGCTGAAACATGGGATCACAGAGTGGTAGACAGCTGAAAAATAGGATCACAGAGCGGTAGGCAGCTGAAACATGGGATCACAGAGAGGTAGGCAGCTGAAACATGGGATCACAGAGTGGTATACAGCTGAAACACAGGATCACAGAGAGGTAGGCAGCTGAAACATGGGATCACAGAGTGGTATACAGCTGAAACACAGGATCACAGAGTGGTAGACAGCTGAAAAATAGGATCACAGAGCGGTAGCCAGCTGAAACACAGGATCACAGAGAGGTAGGCAGCTGAAACATAGGATCACAGACAGGTAGACAGCTGAAACATAGGATCACAGAGAGGTAGACAGCTGAAACATAGGATCACAGAGTGGTATACAGCTGAAACATAGGATCACCGACAGGTAGACAGCTGAAACATAGGATCACAGACAGGTAGACAGCTGAAACATAGGATCACCGAGTGGTATACAGCTGAAACATAGAATCACCGACAGGTAGACAGCTGAAAAATTGGATCACAGACATGTAGACAGCTAAAACATAGAATCACAGAGTGGTATACAGCTGAAACATAGGATCACAGACAGGTAGACAGCTGAAACATAGGGTCACAGACAGGTAGACAGCTAAAACATAGGATCACAGACATGTAGACAGCGGAAACATAGGATCACAGACAGGTAGACAGCTGAAACATAGATTCACAGACAGGTAGACAGCTAAAACATAGAATCACAAACAGGTAGACAGCTGAAACACAGAATCACAGACATGTAGACAGCTGAAACATAGGATCACAGACATGAAGACAGCTGAAACATAGGATCACAGACAGGTAGACAGCTGAAACACGGGATCACAGACATGTAGACACCTGAAACATAGGATCACAGACAGGTAGAAAGATGAAACATAGAATCACTGAGTGGTATACAGCTGAAACATAGAATCACTGAGTGGTATACAGCTGAAACATAGGATCACCGACAGGTAGACAGCTAAAACATAGGATCAAAGACAGGTAGACAGCTGAAACATAGGATCACAGAGTGGTATACAGCTGAAACATAGAATCACAGACAGGTAGACAGCTGAAACATAGGATCACAGACAGGTAGACAGCTGAAACATAGGATCACAGAGTGGTATACAGCTGAAACATAGGATCACCGACATGTAGACAGCTGAAACATAGGATCACAGACAGGTAGACAGCTGAAACATAGGATCACAGAGTGGTATACAGCTGAAACATAGAATCACCGACAGGTAGACAGCTGAAATATGGGATCACAGACAGGTAGACAGCTAAAACATAGAATCACAGAGTGGTATACAGCTGAAACATAGAATCACAGACAGATAGACAGCTGAAACATAGGACCACAGACATGTAGACAGCTGAAACACGGGATCACAGACATGTAGACACCTGAAACATAGGATCACAGACAGGTAGAAAGATGAAACATAGAATCACTGAGTGGTATACAGCTGAAACATAGAATCACTGAGTGGTATACAGCTGAAACATAGGATCACCGACAGGTAGACAGCTAAAACATAGGATCAAAGACAGGTAGACAGCTGAAACATAGGATCACAGAGTGGTATACAGCTGAAACATAGAATCACCGACAGGTAGACAGCTGAAAAATGGGATCACAGACATGTAGACAGCTAAAACATAGAATCACAGAGTGGTATGCAGCTGAAACATAGGATCACAGACAGGTAGACAGCTGAAGCATAGGGTCACAGACAGGTAGACAGCTGAAACATAGATTCACAGACAGGTAGACAGCTGAAACATAGAATCACAAACAGGTAGACAGCTGAAACACAGCATCACAGACATGTAGACAGCTAAAACATAGGATCACAGACATGTAGACAGCAGAAACATAGGATCACAGACAGGTAGACAGCTGAAACACGTGATCACAGACATGTAGACAGCTGAAACATAGGATCACAGACAGGTAGAAAGATGAAACATAGAATCACAGACAGGTAGACAGCTGAAACATAGAATCACTGAGTGGTATACAGCTGAAACATAGGATCACCGACAGGTAGACAGCTGAAACATAGGATCAAAGACAGGTAGACAGCTGAAACATAGGATCACAGAGTGGTATACAGCTGAAACATAGAATCACCGACAGGTAGACAGCTGAAACATAGAATCACAGACAGGTAGACAGCTGAAACATAGGATCACTGAGTGGTATACTGCTGAAACATAGGATCACCGACAGGTAGACAGCTGAAACATAGGGTCACAGACAGGTAGACAGCTGAAACATAGAATCACAGAGTGGTATACAGCTGAAACATAGGATCACCGACAGGTAGGCAGCTGAAACATAGGATCACAGACAGGTAGACAGCTGAAACATAGGATCACAGAGTGGTATACAGCTGAAACATAGAATCACCGACTGGTAGACAGCTGAAATATGGGATCACAGACAGGTAGACAGCTAAAACATAGAATCACAGAGTGGTATACAGCTGTAACATAGAATCACAGACAGATAGACAGCTGAAACATAGGGTCACAGACAGGTAGACAGCTGAAACATAGATTCACAGACAGGTAGACAGCTGAAACATAGAATCACAAACAGGTAGACAGCTGAAACACAGAATCACAGACAGGTAGACAGCTGAAACATAGGATCACAGACATGTAGACAGCTGAAACATAGGATTACAGACAGGTAGACAGCTGAAACACGGGATCACAGACATGTAGACAGGTGAAAAATAGGATCACAGACATGTAGACAGCTGAAAAATAGGATCACAGACAGGTAGACAGCTGAAAAATGGAATCACAGACAGGTAGACAGCTGAAAAATAGGATCACAGACATGTAGACAGCTGAAACATAGGATCACAGACAGGTAGAAAGATGAAACATAGAATCACAGACAGGTAGACAGATGAAACATAGAATCACAGACAGGTAGACAGCTGAAAAATAGGATCACAGACATGTAGACAACTGAAACATGGGATCACAGACAGGTAGACAGCTGAAAAATGGAATCACAGACAGGTAGACAGCTGAAAAATAGGATCACAGACATGTAGACAGCTGAAACATAGGATCACAGACAGGTAGAAAGATGAAACATAGAATCACAGACAGGTAGACAGATGAAACATAGAATCACAGACAGGTAGACAGCTGAAAAATAGGATCACAGACATGTAGACAGCTGAAACATAGGATCACAGACAGGTAGAAAGATGAAACATAGAATCACAGACAGGTAGACAGATGAAACATAGAATCACAGACAGGTAGACAGCTGAAAAATAGGATCACAGACAGGTAGACAGCTGAAAAATAGGATCACAGACAGGTAGACAGCTGAAACATGGGATCACAGACATCTAGACAGCTGAAACACGGGATCACAGACAGGTAGACAGCTGAAACACGGGATCACAGACAGGTAGACAGCTGAAACAAGGGATCACAGAGAGGTACACAGCTGAAGCATAGAATCACAGACAGGTAGACAGCTGAAACACGGGATCACAGACAGGTAGACAGCTGAAACATAGATTCACAGACAGGTAGACAGCTGAAACATAGAATCACAGACAGGTAGACAGCTGAAACATAGGATCACAGAGAGGTAGACAGCTGAAACATAGGATCACAGACAGGTACACAGCTGAAACATAGAATCACAGACAGGTAGACAGCTGAAACACGGGATCACAGAGAGGTAGAAAGCTGAAACATAGAATCACAGACAGGTAGACAGCTCAAACACAATCACAGGATCTATGTCCAAAAACATTCTTCTACCACTCCGTCTACTACAACTACGTCTTCTACCTCTACATCTTCTACCACTACATCAACTATTAATACTACGTCCACTCCCACTGTGTCTACCATCACTACGTCTACTACCGCTACATCTACTACTACTACTACGTCGTCTTCCGCTACGCCTTCTCCCACTACGTCTTCTACCACTTCTACTACTGTTTTCCACCACTGCGTCTTTCACTACTACGCTTACTACCACTACGAATTCTACCACTACATCTACTACCGCTACATCAACTACTAAAACTTCGCCTACTTCCACTGCGTCTACTACCACTACATCTACTCCAACTGGGCTACTACCACTACGTCTCCTACCACTACATTTTCTACAACTATATCTACCACCACTACGCCTACTATTTCGACGTATACGACAACCCGTGTCTTACCCATGTAGGAGGTGTCGCGGGAGGTGGTGGGCATGCGGTCAGCGATGAGGGTCAGGAAGACAGCAAAGGCGAGAAGCACCGTGAGAGAGTACCCCATCTTCTCCCCGCTGTCCGGAGGCAGGACGAACACCAGGGCCGACAGGATGGACAGAACCACCACGGGAAGGATGATGTTGATGCCATAGTAGTCCGGCTTCCGCTGCATCTTGAAGACGAAGGTCACTGTCGCGTACGTTTCCGCGTCAACATCGTGGGTCCTTTCCTCTCTCTCGCCGAATGCTTGTATCAAGTTCCACTCACCGTTCCTCTCAAACTCAGCTGTCTCCACGCCAGATCCGAACTTGGACAGGTCGAGCTCCCGGAGGTTATAGCCCCAGCTCTGCACGATCACAGAACATTCCTGGGAGTCGAAGGGGTAGTAGGTGATGTCAATGGTGCAGTGGGTTTGGTATATTCCGGGCGGATTCCAGTATATTTTGCCCTCGCTATTGACTCTCAGTGGGATGTTTTCATTAGCGATGACGTCTAAATTGTCGATACTGTAACAAAACAAAACCAACAGAAATATCAATTTGGATTAGCTTCTTTAATAACGGTTTTAATAAAGTCCAATCTATTCCTGAATATTGTTTGATAGGCATTATCTTACAACTTGACAGAAGGAGAAGTTGACAATTGTCATGGATAACAACTTCTTTATAGCGACGTTTCCGTATAGATGCTTGTAGCGTTGTCAAGCAGCCCTGAAACGGATCTAGTACAGTCTAATACCTTTTTTGTCTACTTTGTAATCCTGAACAGTTTTGAACAGTATGGAGTATATGATTTCATTTCCGCATATTAATTCAAATATCAGCACGTATAGTAATCGTTGTCGGCTTGAGTATCGAGTCACTATCTTTGTGTACTTACGCGTTTGTCACGACGAGAGATGGTCGCCATATTTCCGTCTCATCAGAGAAGAAGAACTTAATGTCGTTGTATTGCTTCCGGTTCCACATCAGACGGGTGTCGTTCCATACCTGTCGACGTAAGATGGTGTGAGTGTTTAACAATCTGATGACATGACACAACTACTAACACTACAATGTCCTAATCCCCTATATGCAAGCCCAACCGGGTGTCTCGAGGATGGATGCGCCTTGTGTTGTCGGCTCCACACTCATAATCATTTACTAAACACCATCTGGAATACAAGGATGGAGTTCACCGCCAGTAATATAACCTATTTACGCTTTTCGTAGAGACTTGCTCGATTCGGGACCTGGATCCGCTTGCTCAAAGTGATTTTAATAACCCTACGATTTTCGTACCTCCCATACTCAAACATTGAATTGCAATGGTCGTAGCGCTAATATCGTTTGGGCAAGATGGCCCTTTGCGATTTTTTTGTTAGTTCGTTGGAGTATGAACCTTCATAGACTGAGGGTCAAACTGTATGAACGTCGGAGCTTACGACGACGTTCATACAATGTTTGGCCCTCACTCTATGAAGGTTTATATACTGAACAACAAAAGTTTCTGTGACATTGAATAAGATTTAATGCAAAGAAATGTTTTTTTACCAAATCTGAAAGAATTTCGGTTTGCAACAGGTAAAAGACTCCTGTAAGTGTTCAAATGGTTTAATTTGCCATACTGACTTCAGAAAATGCGTGATTGTATAAAAAAAAAACCATGAACATGCCAAAATATCAATTTACAAATCAATAGCGTGTGTGTCCACCTCTGGTTGCGATGCAAGCAACACATCTTCGTCTCATGGAATGGCCCAGGCGTCGCACAAAGTCCTGTGGGATATCTGTCCATATCTGCATGAGCATGTTTCGAAGTTCCTGGAGTGTCTGTGGAACACATGGTTGACGTGGAAGGCGCCGATCCATCTCATCCAACCTGTGCTCGATTGGTGAGAGATCAGGGGAGCGAGCCGGCCAGGGGATGATATTCACGTTGTTTTGTTGAAGAGAATCCTGAACAAGTCGAGCAATATGAGGCTGGGCGTTGTCATGTTGAAAGGTAATGCCTGGGCCATGACGATGCAAAAACGGTAGAACAACAGGGGCGATGACCTCGTCGCGGTAGCGCTGTCCATTGAGATTTCCCTCTACCATTATCAAACGTGTCCTCTGTCTTGCTGTAACCCCACCCCATACCCTAACGCTTCCGCCCCCGAACCGATCTCCTTCCATGACACAATGATTGACGTTACGTTCACCTCGACGTCGGTACACTCGAATCCTCTGCTGTGGCTAAAGGTGAAAACGAGAATAGAACTTGTCCCCACTGCATAGTCGTCCAGCGTAGACGCTGTCTGCACCACTGTGGACGTGCTTGACGGTGGTTTCCTGTCAAAATGGGACGTCTGGCGGGTCTTCTGGCGACAATCCATGCACATGTGAGGCGACGACGAACGGTTTGTGAAGATATTCGTCGAAGGCCAGGGTTGCTTCTTGCAGTCACTGTTGCTGGCTGGAATCGATTTCGTATGTGTGTTGTTCGAATCCAGTTGTCTTGTCGATTATTGGTTACGCGTGGCCTGCCACTCCGAGCATGGTCTCTGATTGCATTCGTCTGTTAACGTTGCCATAAACAGCAAATGGTGTTTCTGTGGACGTTAAATTGTCTTGCAACATCACGTTGACTCGATCCTGCTTCAAGCATACCAATGCAGACGCTTATTTTCTGAGAGGGGTGGCATTTCGTAATGTTGAATAATTGTGTAATTTTGTTTTTTTTCTGAGTGGTTGTTGTCACCACGATGCTAAACAATGCATATGGAGTCCCGTTAACGCATATGTTTTTATACCCATTCTCGGGTAGTGAAATGCATTGGGCTTGCATAAAAGTCAACTTTTGCATGGAATGCATGCTTATCTGTAGCAGCAGCGTTTTTGTGACTTGATTCCATACATGAACTACAATATTGAAAACCAAACTTTACTTGTTTGAAAAATACACCAAAATATTAGGGTCACATGAACTTTTGCTGTTAAGTATACTCCAATAAACTCACACAAAGTGAAAGTCAATTCTTATACATTTTTCATAACACTTTCTTACCTCAAAGGATGTTGGCCAAGATCTAAACACAATTTTATTTAGTATGTTTAATTTCACGTTTACACTGACAGCTATACAACAACCAGATATACCGCGGAATAAAATAGTTCCTCAAAAAGAGAGTTGTCATGAGCGTATGGGCGCACACCTTGCTTTTCAGAAACGTCTTGCGCAACACATGTGTTCAAATAATATCACCATTAGATGAGAAAGGGATGTAAAGAACTACCTCAGTAAGTCAGTCACAATGACAGCGCGTCGTAATACATTTACATCAAGTACAAGACGTCAAAATGGCCCACACGACAAACGTGACGCAAGAGATTTCCGAAGTTGTTAATGAACCTGTGGCAGTTATATGTGTTTGTCATCATTGATCGGCTAGCCGATCTTTGAAAGGTGATTAAAGATGCGTCAAACAGACACTGAGGTAAATTCATAGATTCCTGGAGACGGTCACTGTCAACCTAGACACGGATTGAGTCGATACTACGATAGTTTGGATGTGCATTTCTTCGTTTGTTCATTAGGATGGGCCGTAGCGAGGAAATTCGTGAACAATCATGCAGTCAAGCTCTCTTATGTTTCTCAATGTATACAGAAACGCTGAGACCAAGATTAAAGGTTACTAAATGATCAGAAAAAACGCTTATGTCTGTTTCCGTGCTTGGGAATTCCCAGGAGTTTCCCCAGGAATGTGGAAGAAGTCCGTCGGTGTTAACGTCATTTCAAGATCACGGGCCCGTGAAAAACGTATGGTCGTCAAATTTTGAGGTTCATACACTTATGAACGTCAAATTTGCAGTCATGTGACCGACCTCTAATCTAAATGGAAAAGCCGCATATTGTGTAAACGTCAAATAAACAAAATATTTGATGCTGAATGAAACACATTATATCCCACTGAAACTACGACGGGGAGGGGTTATCACAGGGCGGCTGGTGACAGATGTAAACAGGGTTGCATCTCCTTATGACAACGGTCAACTGGAATCCAAGCAATATTACCTTCTGATGTCTGGCAAATACTAGTATTCACGAAACCGTTCAGTAAAATTGGTCAAACCTATAATAAAGCAAAGAAATGACCAGTTTTTAAAGGGTTCCATGAAGGGTTCCATATATACAGCTTTTATAACTGAGTTGAAACTGATGGCATACTTTCACCTTTCACCTTTCACCCAGAAATAGATGGACATTTTAGAACGTGACATCATTATCATCACCTCCCGACTGGGATTTGACAGTGGAATCTCGACATCAACGTACCATTACAGTTTCTAAAGGTCAGAAGTCAGACATGGCTTGAAACAAAGTCCGTCCTCTTTTAACACTGAGCTACTTACTGACCAGCTGACCCAGTCACTGGAAACCCGATTACTGGAACAACTTCCTGAATGATGGAATATATCTGTACAATGAAACACTTGTTGTGTACCTCCAACACAAGAGGGCAACAACGTGTAGTGAAACAGTCTGCCATCTTGATTTATCTGATTGTATGTTTGTGACCGTAGTGTAGCACCGTTGGGGGCTTATGGAGAAATAAATTGATAGTGACTGATCCTAACCTGGCCAATAACGTACTTGTCTTTTGATGCATTGCACAAGACAAACAAGAATATGGAACTAATGTTTTATTCATGACATCTGTTGATTTGCTGGATGTTGACTTGAAGGTTGACTCAATGCTTAGAGAGATATTTATGTGAATTCAGTTGGGTGGTGTCTGAACCGTGAAACAACCAGCCCGCAACTATAGGGAGTGGGCTGGAACTGGAAGACGAGTCGTAGACACGACTGGCTATACAAATGTGAAATGCTGTCACAAAAGCTGGTGTTAGTCGGAACTGTTTTGCAAGGTCGGGCGGGTTTCCTGGTAACTGTGGAGTATTGTGTCTTACGTTTATCAAAGTAAAATGATACAATTGACAGAAAGAGTGCATAGCAAACACCAGGGACACCCGCTAGCTTGTATCCGATAGACCTTTCTGTCAGGCGTGAATGCGTGACAATGCGATACTAATATTTACAAGTTAAGGTTCACTTCTGTTACTGTGAGGTGACAACTCGGTGTTATGCAGCATATTTGAATGCCTCACATCGACACCCATTACAGTATATATATTGAAATATATTGTTGGAATATGTGTAGCGTTATATTTTGTAAAAAAGGCTCTCCTCGATAATAACTTGGTTCCAATAGGAAACCTGACACATTAATCTGATGCACCCCGACACCCCGATGTGATCTGTATAACAATTACCATTGTGAAGTACCTCGCCAATCCAATGTTCCAGATATTTACTATGAAGTAGCCCGACATTCAAGACACTTACGATTGTAAAGTACCCCGACATTCAAGACACTTACCACTGTAAAGTACCCCGACATTCAAGACACTTACGATTGTAAAGTAGCCCGACATTCAAGACTCTTGACACTGTAAAGTACCCCGACATTCAAGACACTTACCATTGTAAAGTACCCCGATATTCAAGACATTTACAATAGTGAAGTACCCCGATGTTAAAGACACTAACCATTGTAAAGTACCCCAACATTCCAGACACTTACCATTTTGAAGTACCCCGACTTTCAAGACACTTACCATAGTGAAGTACCCCGACATTTAAGACACTTACCATAGTGAAGTACCCGGACATTCAAGACACTCACCATTGTAAAGTACCCCGACATTCAAGACACCTACCATTGTAAAGTACCCCGAGATTAAAGACACTTACCACTGTAAAGTACCCCGACATTCAAGACACTTACCATTGTGAAGTACCCCGATATTAAAGACACTAACCATTGTAAAGTACCCCGACATTCCAGACACTTACCATTGTGAAGTACCCCGACTTTCAAGACACTTACCATAGTGAAGTACCCCGACATTCAAGACACTTACCATTGTAAAGTACCCCGACATTCAAGACACTTACCACTGTGAAGTACCCCGACTTTCAAGACACTTACCATAGTGAAGTACCCCGATATTAAAGACACCTACTACTGTAAAGTACCCCGAGATTAAAGACACTTACCATAATGAAGTACCCCGACATTCAAGACACTGACCATTGTAAAGTACCTCGCCAATAAAATGTTCCAGATATTTACTAATCTGAAGTACCCCGACATTCAAGACACTTACCACTGTAAAGTATCCCGACATTCAAGACACTTACCATTGTGAAGTACCCCAAGATTCAAGACACTTAACATAGTGAAGTACTCCGATATTCAAGACACTTACCACTGTAAAGTACCCCGATATTTAAAGACACTTACCACTGTAAGGTACCCCGATATTAAAGAAACTTACAACTGTAAAGTACCTCGATATTTAAAGACACTTACCACTGTAATGTACCCCGATATTAAAGACACTTACCACTTTAAAGTACCCCGCGATTAAAGACACTTACCATCGTAAAGTACCCCGAGATTAAAGACACTTACCACTTTAAAGTACCCCGAGATTAAAGACACTTACCACTGTAAAGTACCCCGACATTCAAGACACTTACCATTGTAAAGTACCCCGACATTCAAGACACTTACCATAGTGAAGTACCCCGACATTTAAGACACTTACCATTGTGAAGTACCCCGAGATTAAAGACACTTACCACTGTAAAGTACTCGAGATTAAAGACACTTACCACTGTGAAGTACCCCGATATTAAAGACACTTACCAATGTGAAGTACCCCGAGATTAAAGACACTTACCATTGTAAAGTACCCCGACATTCAGGAAACTTACCATAGTGAAGTACCCCGACATTTAAGACACTTACCATTGTGATTTACCCCGAGATTAAAGACACTTACCACTGTAAAGTACTCGAGATCAAAGACACTTACCACTGTAAAGTACCCCGACATTCAAGACACTTACCATTGTAAAGTACCTCGCCAATCAAATGTTCCAGATATTTACTAATGTGAAGTACCCCGACATTCAAGACACTTACCACTGTAAAGTACCCCGAGATTCAAGACACTTACCATTGTAAAGTACCCCGAGATTCAAGACACTTACCACTGTAAAGTACCCCGACATTCAAGACACTTACCATTGTAAAGTACCTCGCCAATCAAATGTTCCAGATATTTACTAATGTGAAGTACCCCGACATTCAAGACACTTACCACTGTAAAGTACCCTGACATTCAAGACACTTACCATAGTGAAGTACCCCGATATTAAAGACACTAACCATTGTAAAGTACCCCGACATTCCAGACACTTACCATTGGGAAGTACCCCGACTTTCAAGACACTTACCATAGTGAAGTATCCCGACATTCAAGACACTTACCATTGTGAAGTACCCCGATATTAAAGACACTAACCATTGTAAAGTACCCCGACATTCCAGACACTTACCATTGTGAAGTACCCCGACTTTCAAGACACTTACCATAGTGAAGTACCCCGACATTCAAGACACTTACCATTGTAAAGTACCCCGACATTCAAGACACTTACCATTGTGAAGTACCCCGACTTTCAAGACACTTACCATAGTGAAGTACCCCGATATTAAAGACACTTACCACTGTGAAGTACCCCTAGATTAAAGACACTTACCACTGTAAAGTACCCCGAGATTAAAGACACTTACCACTGTGAAGTACCCCGATATTAAAGACACTTACCACTGTAAAGTACCCCGAGATTAAAGACACTTACCACTGTGAAGTACCTCGAGATTCAAGACACTTACCATAGTGAAGTACCCCGACATTCAAGACACTTACCATTGTGAAGTACCCCGACTTTCAAGACACTTACCATAGTGAAGTACCCCGACATTCCAGACACTTACCATTGTGAAGTACCCCGACATTCAAGACACTAACCACTGTGAAGTACCCCGATATTAAAGACACTTACCACTGTGAAGTACCCCGAGATTAAAGACACTTACCACTGTAAAGTACCCCGAGATTAAAGACACTTACCACTGTGAAGTACCCCGATATTAAAGACACTTACCACTGTAAAGTACCCCGAGATTAAAGACACTTACCACTGTGAAGTACCTCGAGATTAAAGACACTTACCACTGTGAAGTACCCCGATATTAAAGACACTTACCATTGTGAAGTACCTCGAGATTAAAGACACTTACCACTGTGAAGTACCCTGATATTAAAGACACTTACCACTGTGAAGTACCCCGATATTAAAGACACTTACCATTGTAAAGTACCCCGATATTAAAGACACTTACCACTGTAAAGTACCCCGATACTGAAAACTTCTGTGTGCGCGTCACCTGAAATAACAAGGAATCATCTGTTCCACATGTGTAGCGTCCATATGACCCCGTTTGCGATTATATTAAAAAATATTTAGAAACCAACTCCAACAACGCAGTCCTTCACAGAACTTTTCAGCCACTCTCGCATGTACGTGATAACCATCTGATTATTGAAACCTTTCAATCCTTGTTCACATTTTGCAGAATGCACTTTAGTATTAAAGTATTAGGTGGAGTTTATACTCCCCCAGATAAGCCAGAAATATACGAAATAGGATGGATGGTATAGAGTGTAAATGTGCAACAATATAGACGGAAAATAAAGGCGATATAGATATAATATGGTTGATGCTTTGAATGCGAGAGCAGCGCTGTTAGCTGATTATATTAGTGAAGAAGATATTGACATTTTAAACGAAGGAGAATTATGTTATGTTGAATCGTTTCGCATGGAAAGATCATTACAAGATAAATTTGATTTAACGTTCTTAAAAGTCTGCCAACGATAGAATTAAGACATAGTAAATGAGAGATAACTTGGGCCAAAGCAGGCGCGTTTACATATACTGGTTCAAATTGAAGGAGTTAGATTATTTTATTGCCTCAACAAATATGTCCGCATCAATAATTCACATAATTGTGCGTATCAGAACAGAGAGTGACAATTTCCCAATCTCCTGCCACTGACGTAATATCAGCTTAGGGATAGAGTTACATCGGATGTTTCAAAGACAGCACATGGACGTAGTATGACGCGATACAGAGGGAATGACGCAGGCAAACGAACCTTCACTGGCGATTCTAACTCTGATCATGCTCAAGCAATTAATCAGCAATTTCTTGGACTGGTTCACGGAAATGTAAGTGCTGCTGCTGAGAAATTGAGTCGTTCCATTTTGTATCGCATTTTGAAAGTCGGATAAAAACAGGAGATAATAATGCATGTCTATGGAAACAGCCTGTATGGGTTGACAACGAATGCAGAGAATTAGAAGGTGCGAAATACAAATTCTCACATATCCGTAAATGAAGGAATGCCCTAAATCCTATTCTTTACTTTGAAGCTAAAAGACATTTTATGAAGAAATTTAGGGACAAGAGAAAGTAATTGAACAAGGATGATATTGAGAACGTCAGCTTGGCTATAACCACGAAAGATTGTAAGACATTTTGGAAAAGCATTTCACCTGAAACATGGGCAACATGGTTTCAGGACTGAAACTCGACAAAGTAATGAATTTGCTAATAATGTATATATCTTTCTCTGTAATCATGATTGTATGATCAATGTAAATTTATAGCACTTATATGCTACCAGTAGAGATTACAGACGATGGAATTTAAAAAAAAAAAAAATCATAAATCTTAAATCTGCCAATTCATCAGTTCCTTCAGCATCCAATAGACTTTATTCCATATCTAAACATACTATATAATACAATCTTGAAAACTGATATTTTTGCAGATGCGTGGAATATTGGTTTTATTATACCCATACACAAGTCTGGCTAACCCACACTTCAGTATAATTATAGGGGTATATCTCTTGTAATCGTTATGGTGAAAATATGCACATCCATTTTTGAAGAATGATATATTTGGACTGAATTTAACGGGGCAGAGATTTCTTATGAATATGGAAAGGGTTTGTGGCTTTTATTTGCCTATGTTTGGATTGCCCAAGATTGTGGATATATGAAACAGTTTGTATGTTTAAACAACTTTTTATGAAATTAGAAATGTAAAACTGGTATCAGAAAATTGGTTATAATATCTGACTTATTCTAATTCCTATAAAAACATGCTTTGCTCCAGAATTGTATCAAATTTGATGGGAAAAGACTTGGCACATATTCCGACAAAATTTCCTATTCTTGTTCATAATCTAAAAGTACAAAAAATGTGTTAAACCAAACTATATTAATATGTTAAAACTGTGATTATATGGTTATAGCAGATGAGTACCATTTTTTTCTGGTTTGCAAGAAAAATGTAAACATTGAAAGGTAATGCCAAGTACTTAAAGAGAATCTGATATGAATAAATATTTGTACTTTATGATAATTGTTGTTAAAATGTTATCCACAGTCTGTACAAATTCTTTATATAAATTGTAATCTGGCCATGTGGCCTCCAATTCTGAAATTTCTCTAAAAGAGAAAGAGAGAGAGAGTACACTTTTCTTAACGTCATTATTGAATTGATACATTTTTTGTAATACGATGTCTCGAAAAAAGCAAAGTACTCAGGGTTTGAGGTAATATGTTCTGTTTGTACTCAGTATTCCCCTTCATACATATGCATGTCAGTGCACAGCGCAAAGTCGATTTATATACACGTAATTAACAATGTAAGGTAAGAAGAAATTCTGCTCACTGTTGCATTAATGTACAAATCGTGTTAAAATAAGAGAGACATGTTCGAACCGTTTCCGGGGATTTACATATATGTAGAACACTGTCAAAGCAAGTTAACTGTGCTTTGTATCAATGGTAGTTGAGTGCACCCCATTGTCTCGAACACCTCTTACAACTGCTCCAGTACGTGGCATATTGATCATGTAATATTTCGGTTATGTAACGGCGGCCTGTAACTCATCAAGTCTGAAAAAAGGTTGATGTAAGAACTGCCCGTTGGGTTGTTAATAACATCGCCCTGACTTCTGCAAACGATACTGCCTTGAAACATTGCGTTACCCTTATATTATCATAAGTAAATACAATCAATGTTACAAAAATAGTGCAGTTGATTCCCCCTCCAAAGGGAACCAGTGCATGTTGAACATGTACACCCGGCGAGTATGTAACAAATAGTACAGCACAGTCAATGGTGAGCTCTATGTTAGGTGAAATTTGAAGTGTTAATAAAACATCTTACATCATTTTGCATTGCTGTAAAGTGTCATTGCCATTAATAAACACATCAACTGCCAACGTCAGTTTCTAACATTTTATATTACGTAACATGCTCGTAAGACGTTTTTATTAGCTAACGTTGCGAACACACTTACATTCATAATTTTTTTACCATATTGTCAAACACTGCACATTAAATATTTTAAAAAACAACAAACCCTAAAAACCTGACGTCATACGACTGTAGACAACATAGTTTTAATATATATTTCCACATCGTAAGTAATCAGATCAGCTATCTAGTTTCATACACATATTGAGCAATCAGTTTGAATGTGAAGTTTCATACACATATTGAGCAAAAGGTTTGCATATCTAGTTTCATATACATATTGAGCAATCAGTTTGAAAGTATAGTTTCATACGCATAATGACGAATCAGTTTGGATATCTAGTTTCATACACACATTGAGCAATCAGTTTGGATATCTAGTTTCATACACATATTGACCAATCAGTTTGGATATCTAGTTTCATATACATATTGAGCAATCAGTTTGAAAGTACAGTTTCATACACATAATGACCAATCAGTTTGGATATCTAGTTTCATATACATATTCAGCAATCAGTTTGGATATCTAGTTTCATATACATATTCAGAAATCAGTTTGGATATCTAGTTTCATATACATATTGAGCAATCAGTTTGGATATCTAGTTTCATATACATATTGAGGAAACACTTTGAAAGTATAGTTTCATACACATATTGAGCAATCAGTTTGGATATCTAGTTTCATATACATATTGAGCAATCAGTTTGGATATCTAGTTTCATATACATATTGAGCAATCAGTTTGGATATCTAGTTTCATATACCTATTGAGCAATCAGTTTGAAAGTATAGTTTCATACACATATTGAGCAATCAGTTTGGATATCTAGTTTCATATACATATTGAGCAATCAGTTTGGATATCTAGTTTCATACACATATTGACCAATCAGTTTGGATATCTAGTTTCATACACATATTGAGCAATCAGTTTGGATATCTAGTTTCATATACATATTGAGCAATCACTTTGAAAGTATAGTCTCATACACATATTGAGTAATCAGTTTGAAAGTACAGTTTCATACACATAATGACCAATCAGTTTGGATATCTAGTTTCATATACATATTCAGCAATCAGTTTGCATATCTAGTTTCATATACATATTCAGCAATCAGTTTGGATATCTAGTTTCATATACATATTGAGCAATCAGTTTGGATATCTAGTTTCATATACATATTGAGCAATCACTTTGAAAGTATAGTTTCATACACATATTGAGCAATCAGTTTGGATATCTAGTTTCATATACATATTGAGCAATCAGTTTGGATATCTAGTTTCATATACATATTGAGCAATCAGTTTGGATATCTAGTTTCATATACCTATTGAGCAATCAGTTTGAAAGTATAGTTTCATACACATATTGAGCAATCAGTTTGGATATCTAGTTTCATATACATATTGAGCAATCAGTTTGGATATCTAGTTTCATACACATATTGACCAATCAGTTTGGATATCTAGTTTCATACACATATTGAGCAATCAGTTTGGATATCTAGTTTCATATACATATTGAGCAATCACTTTGAAAGTATAGTCTCATACACATATTGAGAAATCAGTTTGAAAGTATAGTTTCATACACATATTGAGCAATCAGTTTGGATATCTAGTTTCATATACATATTAAGCAATCAGTTTGGATAACTAGTTTCATACACATATTGACCAATCAGTTTGGATATCTAGTTTCATATACATATTGAGCAATCAGTTTGGATATCTAGTTTATATATACATATTGAGCAATCAGTTTGAAAGTATAGTTTCATACACATATTGAGCAATCAGTTTGGATATCTAGTTTCATATACATATTGAGCAATCAGTTTGGATATCTAGTTTCATATACATATTGAGCAATCAGTTAGAAAGTATAGTTTCATACACATATTGAGCAATCAGTTTGGATATCTAGTTTCACATACATATTGAGCAATCAGTTTGGATATCTAGTTTCATACACATATTGACCAATCAGTTTGGATATCTAGTTTCATACACATATCGAGCAATCAGTTTGGAT